ATTTCTAACCAAATCTGAACTTCGCAAGTCCTGCCTAGGTCTCGGTAATAAAGCATCATTTAAATGCTTATAAAAAATTTGCGGCAAAGTACTCCACGCCCTGTCTAAGCCCCAGTAAAAAATATATCATTTATATGAGTATAAAAAATTTAAGGGCGCAGAACTCCTTGGCCTGTCAAGTTCTCGGAAAGAAAACCCAATTTATATACTTACAAAAAATTTCGGGGGGAGAAATCGTGTCTCTCCCATGCCTCGGTACAAAAATTTATATAAAAATATCTATCCAATATTCCAGTTACAAATAATTGAATAAGGTAACATGATTAAAATTTAAAAATCATGCACGGCACCTTCAAAAGCCCAGGTGCTTTACAACCTGGAAGTGTAATTATAAAAAGAGGTGCACGTGAAATAGGTAAGAATGATAAAAACAAAGCAATCTATATGGCCGGTTTAACACCAAGTAGAATTACCGGTATGGCGTTTGTCTTCTAGTTTTCTTCGCAACCTTAGTAAAACAGGCAACGTCACTACCTCCCCCGACTAGCAACCTCCCCTCCCCCAAAACTGCAGTCGCGCAACCCACATTCATCACAAAGGTCTGGGACGAGCTATAGGAGTACTGTAATACCTTATGTCTCGTGGAAGGGCCATAGTTACATCAATCCTTCGTTCTTTCCGGTCGATCTCTTTCCCCAAGACGGGAAATACACTTGGTACTACGATGGAGGTGGTAAGACCACCTCTTGAAGACATGGCAGATGGCGAAACACACAAAGCAACTTTTGCAATGAGCTGATTTTGGTTCCCCGAAGCTCAGTTTGGATGCGCTAATGGCGTCGTACGAACTGTAGTCGGATATACTGGGGGATCTAAGCCCTTTCCGACTTATACGAGCCTGTAAGTTACTCACTAACTGGAGCAAGGGAATTAACACTGCCTTTTCTTGGGTTTGTGATATCGATTTCATGAAGTCTAACACTTTTCTTGTCAGAAAAAAAAAAAAAAAAAAAAAAGATTACATAATAATCGACATTAGTTGACGCAGCTTAGACGTTTAAACGTTCTAACAATGTTTATAACATTAAGTGTTCCTGTTAAGGTTAAAAGCTGTAGTAGTTTGCTGTTTGAGAAAACTACGCGGAGTTAGTGTTGTGAAATATTGTAATTTGGTTCTCAACATCTGAAAGCCAATATAAGAATTCTTAAGCTTATGTGTTTACTGTTAAGCGCTGAGTCATGTTACATAAGTATTCGCAATACGTGACATGAATGCGTGACATGAAAACTTTTGTCTGTGCTAATATTCTGAAAGCCAATATAAGAATTCTTAGGCTTATATGTTTAACTTTCTGTTAAGCGCTGAGTCATGTTACATAAGCATTGGCATTATGTGACATGAATGCGTGACATGTAAACTTTTGTCTGTGCTAATATTTACTGACCTCATATATGTTATCAGAAGCGTATAACCTCATTATAAGCTTCTGGTGTTATGTTATGTTACATTATGGAAAATTAGAGAAATTAACTGAGCGTCTTCTAGCCAAGCTACATCCTCCAAACTTGGTGAATGCAATATTCTACCTAGCATTTAAAAGTTGCGATTCACAAATTGGGGAAAATTCAATTTTGGAGAAAGTTATTTGCCATCAGATTCCCATAAAAGCACTGTAATTTCTGACCGCTTTGCCAACCCATCAAGTTGGCATCAAAAACCGTGATAAGGTCCATCCAACAGAATCCAATCTAGCCCCAGGCTATTGGACATGACTTCCTTTGCACACTGGGCTTAATCGTTTGTTTGGTTAATTAATCAGCTGGTGATAGTAACTTACTGTTGTTTTCAGCTGGTGAAATTGTCCGCCCTTTAGTACGTAATCACAGCACACCTGAGTAGTATGCAAAAACAGGTGGTTTTCAACCTTGAGAAGAGTGTTGACCTTGGGATATATTTTTAATCTTTGTTTTTTACTTCTCAGCGGGGACCATACGGAAACTGTGCAGCTGGAATATGATCCAAACTGTACAACCTACAGAGATCTGTTAAAGATGTTTTGGAAAAACCATGATCCTACAGCATTGCACAAAGCACAATACATGTCGGCCATTTTCTATCATGACAACCAGCAAAAGCAACTTGCAGAGCAGACACGAGACGAGCATCAGAACACAATAAAAAGAAAAATAGCAACAAAGATTCTACCAGCAGATACATTCTATGTTGCAGAACAGTATGTATTTAATGGTTATTTTTGTTTAAGTGTTTAAGTGTTTCAGCTACAGCGGTATCAAGGCAGCTGAAAGATTAGTAAGAATGATTTTAGATTGAATAGTTAAAGTCAATTGCTTGCCTGTCTTCATTATGTTGTCATGTTTTCAGGAAAGACACTCTAACTTGCACTGTCTTCTCACTCAGGAGTATGAAGTGTTACCCGTAGACTGTTAGGAAAACCTAGCAAAATTTTGAGAGAGAGAGAGAGGGAGGGAGGGGAGGGGGGGAGGGGGTAGCCTTCCACGTTCTACATGTAGCGTCCCATATGCAGGGAGCCAACGACCATTTACTTCTACAATATAATTGTACTTCATGCTGTAGAATCTCTGTCTAGCTTTCTTTGTTGTCAGTACGGAATTATTGCAATTTTTTTAAAATATTGAAAAACACAAAGAGTTGACTTTGGGAAGATTTTTTGTAGTAAGAGCAGTGTTATACATGAACAACAAACAAGTTTTAATGGGCTGTGAAATGATTATTCTGGAACCTGGCTATCACAGGAAATGCAAAGGGTTAGCAAAAAGTTCATGTGTGATGAGGGGAAAAATTAATACATCATGTGTGAAAAGTAATGAAGAGATGAATTAATTCATGGATTTATGGGTAAACTGCAAGAATTTTGTTAAAATTCACCATGGTGTGAAATGGGATCTTGTCTGCCTTGTAGAGATCCTCATGACTGCCATGGTTACC